TCCCAGAATAAACAGCAATAGGAGCGTTAAAAGACGTAAACATAGTGCCCATGCTTGATGCAGATTGCCTTAGCAGGGAGTCAGGAGCTTTACAGGCACAGGGCAAAAGCAGGGCAGGGAAAGCGAGCCAGCAGCAGCGCCCCACAGCCCGGGCCTGCACGTTGCTCGCAGGCTGCCACCAACCCTCAGCGAACCCGGTTGTGAAACTGGTTGCCAGTGGTTCGAAAACGGAGATGAAAACGGGCAAAGGGCAGTGGAGCAGACGTGGCAGGGCCGGAGAGAGGGGGCTGTAAAAGGCACGGCTGTGGCGGGGGCACTGCGCGGTGCAGCGGGACCGGGGCCCGCGTGGGGCTGCCTCCGCAGGGCTGCTCTCGCCAGCACCCTCCACTGCCAGGGAGACAGGGGGAAAGTATGCGGACAGAGGTTTCATGCTTAAGGAGCAGAGCTGTGCGATCTGAGCAGGTTAATTGCTGCTCTGCCACCTTGGTGCCCTCATCCTTTGGGACTTTCAGAACGGGCACAGTGGGGATGAGCGCAGGCACTTCCTTTGTTTTTATACCAAGTTACCCACTTCTAAGTCTCCCATTAGCTGTTATTTCCACTTCCTTTGTCTTTTGCAACTCCTCCTGAGCTTGGTAATTGCAGTAGCTTAAGATGCAAACATCAGATCTTTTTAAGCCCTGCCGCTGCTGAATAGGTGAATAAATGTTTTGTTTGAGTGAGGGATGCAGAGCTACAAAAACCTTTTAGCAGCTTTAACATCCGCGGGCAGCAGGAGCAAGCCAGAGTCCCTGAGGCACCCCAAACGTGTTCCTTTTTACCCTTCAAGGGTGGGACACGTTGGGACTGATGCTCCCCAGCACACCCGGCTCCATGAGGGAGCAAACACCTTATGGGCACATCAGGACATGAAGACAGAGCAAATGGAAATGACTGCTTTAGTAAAAAAGTAAGCAGTTCTTACTAAAAACAGGAGGCAACATATACACAGACCTCACAGCTCTCTGACAGACAGGTGTGAGCAAAAAGACAGCTTTGTAAAGCAGCTGATGGGGAAGAGACCCAAGGCCTCAGAGCCCACAAACGCAGCCCCACGTGTCCGCACGGGACAGGGGCAGGCGCACTGGTGCACGAGCACACAGACACATGCGTGTGCACACAACAGTGCACGCACACCCGCTCGCCCCAGGCTATCCTCACCCACCCTGCCGCCAGCTCCGGCAGCCCCAGGACCCCACACCCCACACCCTGCAGGGCCCCGAGCCCCCCGGATCCCTCAGCCCAGGCGGAAGGCACTGCGTGTCCCGCTGAGCATGCCCGCACTCATCTCACCCCTGCCCCGTCCCTGGCACACAAAACCCGCGTCCCAAAAGCCCGGCCGCCCTTGTGTGGCTCGGCCAAGCCCGGCACGGCTCAGCTCGGCTCAGCACAGGCACTTCCTGCAAAGTTTGCTCAGCCGGGGCGGGCCGAGCCATGGGAGGTGCCGGATGCAGCGGGGCGAGGGGCAGGCGGCTCTGGGACAGAGCAGGAGGCTGGAGGCAGCCCAGCTCCGCAGCTGGGCCCACGTGGCTCCGCTCTGTGATAGAGCTGTGCCAAAATGCGAGCCCGCAGGGAAACCGCAGCTGGGCTTTGCGGTGCCTGTCCTGCTCTTCGTGTTGTGCGTGAGGACAGCTGGCACCTCAGCGCTCTGGGGCAGCTCCCAGCGCTCGCTGCCGTAAAGCTGGGAGCCTGGCGGTGCCAGAACTACCAGAAGGAAGTGATAGCTCTCCTCTAGTATCTTTATATCCTCTTTAGTATCTTTACATCCTCTTTAATAGCTTTATATCCTCTTTAATATGTGTACTGATGACTTGGGTGAGGGGACTGAGTGCGCCCTTGGTAGGCTTGCAGACAATACATAGCTGGGGGTCAGTGTTGAATGCCAGAGGGCAGGAAGGCCCCGCAGAGGGACCTGGACAGGATTTGTTGATGGGCAGAGGCCACTGGGATGAGGTTCAACATGGCCAAGTGCCAGGTCCTGCACTTTGGCCACAACCGCCCCATGCAGCGCTGCAGGCTTGGGGCAGAGTGGCTGCAAAGGTGTGCAGGGGAAAAGGATCTGGGGGTGCTGATGGATGTTCACCTGAACGTGAGCCAGCAGTGAGCCCAGGTGGCCAAGAGGACCATGTTTGGGGACATGTCTGTGGTGGCACTGGTGGCAGTGGTGGCAGTGGTGGCAGGGCGGGGGGGGGGGGCTGTGTCTGTGTGTCTGTGTGCGCATGCGCAGGAGCGGCCGGGCGGCACGGGCCGTGTGAGCGCTGCCCCCCCCGCGCAGCCCACAGGCGCCTCAGAAGCAGCTCCAAGCGCTCTGCGCATGCGCTCCCACCCCCTCCCTCGCCTCACCGCCCGCGCCCCTGGATTGGCTCTTCCCCGCTTCCCTCCGGCCCTGGCCCAATGGCAGCGCGCCTTGTTGAGGGGTGACGGGAAGAAGGCGTCGCCGTGGGGCCGCTCTTTCCCTTTCTCCGCCCGGCTGCAGCGGCGAGCGCACGTCCCGGGCCCCGCTCCCGCAAAGTGAGCGCGGGGCCGCTCTGACCCCCCCCGACCCCCCCCCGGGCCGCGCGGCGATGGACGCGCCCGGCGGGGCCCGGCCGGCGGCCGCGGGGGGCTGGGGCGGGGCCTGGGCGAGCCCACTCGGGGCGCGGGGGGGGGGGGTGGCGGCGGCGGCCATGTGCGCCTGGGCCTGCGGGACGGGAGCGGGGGGGGGGGGGGGTGGAAGCGCGGCCGCGGCTCCGCTGCGGTTAAACGGAGGGGGGAGAGGGGGGCAGGGGGGTGAAATGGGGGCTGTGGGGCCTTTACACGAGCTCACCCGCTGAGCTGTGCGTCTTGCAGGATGCGTTACGTCGCGGCCTACCTGCTCGCCGTCCTGGGCGGCAACGAGGCGCCCACGTCCAAGGACCTGAAGAAGATCCTGGACAGCGTCGGCATCGAGACGGACGATGAGCGCCTCAACAAGGTGCTGCCTCCTCACGGCCCCGCAGCCGCTGCGTGACCGTGCCCTGCGTTACCCTCCTTGTTCCACTCAGCTCGGTGGGCTCTGGGGGCCCTGCCAGCCCCGGGGCGCTGTGATCAAACCTCGGGGCTGCTCCCTGGTCTCCAGCACCCTTCTGTTTCCCCTGCTCTCAGCCTGCTCTGCCTTTCTTTCAGGCTCTCGCAGATAATTACATACATGATTTCTTAAACACTGCTTAGCCAATCAGAGCTGTTTGTGCAACGCTTTTGTAGAAGCCGGGCTTTCTAGTTTAGCTTCTGTTGTCTGGAAGTACCTCTGTCAGTCATTGATGCCCTCTGACCGCTGAATCTAGTAATGTTCAGTGGGGTCACAGCTACAGATAAGTATCTACTAAAGCTTGTTCTATTCTGACCTAAGCTCTAGCTTGCATTTAAGTGTTTAATTTTGGCTCTTGGTCAGAAAGTGAACACTCCTGAAGGCCTGATACACAGTAGTAAATTCTTACTTAGCATGCTGCAAGGAAGCATTTGTACCTTCACCAGGAAACATAGGTGTAAATTTTAACATGGACAATAGGGATCTTCAATAATATGTAGGGAAACGAAATAATTTCTGGAATGATTAGGTTGGAAAGTAGCCTTTTTAAGAGGGTGTCCTACTGGGAATGTGTGTTGTGATGTAGCAGGCTTTCAGTCTGTGGGGAGTGAAGAAGAAATGGCCATGGGGATGGCTAGGGGAAGTCTGCCCCATACATCAGTGTGGTGTTTCTGGAGAGATGGAGGAAGAACAGTTACTTTCCCAGCTGGAAACTTTTTTTTTTTTTCCATTGGCCCAACCCAGTGATGAGTTGAATCAGCTGAGAGCATCCTTATACGATTTAGGACGTTGGCTTGAAGTTGTGGTGCTCCTGTGAAACATTAGGGCCTTTGGCCTTGGCATGCTTAGGTCTCTTTAATCTTCTTCTGTAAACTCGTTGGTTTCTCTGATATCCAGAAAGCATCTCTGAAATTTGTGCTGATCATGATTAATTTATTATGTTTGTGCTGACTGTATCTCTTGCGAATGCAAATCTACTGAAGTCTTAAAAGCACCTTGTAGATGAAACAAGTGTACAGGCACGGCATTTCGCAGGCAGTGTAATCAGGAGGGGAACATTGAAAACCTCCCAAAAGGCCTTTGAGCACTCTGCAGTGTTCAGCGCTGACCCCAACGCAGGAACTCACTAGGAGGCTCTGTGGCATACTCCTTTTTTTATTACAACTGGTTGCATGCTTTAGCAACTTGTATTTTCGTGTGTTGCTTTCCTCATCCCTGCTTATACAACAGTGGTAGTAAATCTAGAGTTAGGACTCTGTGTCCTAAGGATACAATAACCAGCGTGGCTCTAACATTTAGTAATGCTAGGAACAGGACCCTGCGGTTGCTGGTTCAGTGCCCAGTGCCTCAGAGGCTCCCTGTGGACATTAAGCAAGAGATGCTAACAGTCCCTCAGCGACTAACAGGCCGTTAGTGGGGTTTCCCAGCTGGCTCCACCACGTCTGTGTATCCTGCCTTTTGTAAGGCCCTTGGATTTGTTGTGAATTTATCGGAACAGATTTCATGAAAAAGCTTTCACAGAAAGGTAGGAAAGATGTAGCTGGAGTTCTTGTTCCAGTGTCCTCTTCCTTCCCCTGAGAAATAAGGAATGTGGGAGCTGTGCGAGCAGCAGGATGGAGGCGTTGCGTGTTATGATTAATCACTGCTTGTTTGAGTGTAGCTCGTACTCAAGCTGTTTTGAAGCTATTAACATTTTAAATCTAATTTACAGGTTATTAGTGAGCTGAATGGAAAAAACATCGAGGATGTCATTGCTCAGGGTAAGTACAGTCCCTGAGTGTCACAGATAATTGCCTCTGCTACTTCAGGAACTTGAGAGCACAGAACTGCCGCCAACTCCCCGATTATTCATCGGTTTCCTCATGCAGCTGAGGGCTTCCATGCTGGATCCCTGTTGAAATGGCTGGAATCCAGCAGGTCCATTCTAATGCCTCGCAGGTTGGTGCCAGTACCTGCTGGGTTTCGCTTGTGGACCACATCAAACTGGAAGACTGAAATGTGTCTGAGCTTACTGGTGGTCTGCTCGTGACGTAGTTTTCTGGACATGCTGAATGAAGGAGGAGTTAGCTCTCCTTCCATACTCTTACAATATTTTTTTTTGCAGTTACCCACTTGTTACACACTAATTACGTAAAATAGGAAGAAGGGACTGTTAAATGTAATTAAGTGCCAATTGACTTTAAAGGCACAGTTACACCCTCAGTGATTAACACAAGCATCTCCAGCGTATCTCTGCTGGAGCTCCCTGTTCTAGCACTTCCTTTTCGTGAGGGCAGGACTCTGGGTGCTGATCTGTGCTCCTACCTCCTGGCTCTCACTGTGCTCCTACCTGCTGGCTCTCACTGAAGCTGGGGCTTACAACATTGCCTGACTGTGTCAGAGGGCTAAAATAATGCAGAGCTGAGGTAGCGCAAAGGTCTTGATAAAATTGCCTTCTATTTTTGCAAATGCTTAGGCACAAGGGAACTCTTGGGCATATGTTGGCTTAAAGGTTGCCAGCACTTTGCTTGGCGTTGCTGTTTTGAGCAGTAACAGGACATTTCTGTCCGTGTGGTCTGAAGACCTAAGAGAGCCATTATGCGTGTGCTTACAACACATTTAAGCTCTCTCTCTATGTAAGGGTTTTTCTTAAAATAAATTGTTTCCTAGAACATACTGACATGTATATGAAACATGTTTGTTTACTTGGCAAGCTTATTAGAGCTTGAAGTAACAAGGAATTATTTAGAAATGGATTCCCAGAAATTGGAATACAGGCAAATGTACTGTGTACGTGACCCCTGAGTGCCAAGGGAGCCCTGGTATGTGACAAGCAGATGCCGGAGAGCTCGCTAATGTGCTGAAGACGAGCGTAAATCAGAAGCGAGTTTGCCACTCTCAGAGGAGATGCAATAGGTTTCATAGGGTGTTGGAAAACTTGGTTAAAATGCTGTACTCTTTGCCATAAATTTCTTCTCCCCTGGATGGCCCCAGCCATGCCCTCAATTTTCTATACCCTTAAACAAAAAAAATACTTCTGTGTTTGAGGGGGGGACTGCATACAGCAGAAGGCTTATTAATGTGCTGTTCATGTTGTTGGGGTAAGCTGTCATTAGGAATGATTTTTGTGAGGTTTCTTTGTTAGTTTTTACTTTATTACAGGCGCAGCTTCATGCTCCTCTCACTAACAGTGACAGTTTGTCTGTGATCTGCAACCTGATTTTTTTTTTTTTTTTTGCACTCATTTCTTTTCCTCTTCTTGCCTGCCTGTGCTTACGATGAGCATTGAAATCCTTTCTCTTCTCATTCAGGCAATGGCAAGCTTGCCAGCATGCCAGCTGGGGGAGCTGTGGCAGTCTCTGCTGGAGGGGTCTCCGCTGCTCCTGCTGCGGGTGCTGCCCCTGCTGCCGGTGAGTATGGATGGAGAGGGGTGGTTACAGGGCATTTCTCTTTTCCCTGTTAAAATCCTAATGCTGAAGACCAAATCTCAAGGTCTTTCCACTTTGGCAATTCGCTGTGTGATTGAAATGTGAACTAAAAGGTTATTTTTGCCATGGGCAATGAGAAACGTTGGCTCTTCTTTATTCACTGTAAGTTTGTTCTGGCTTAGAACAGAAAATCAGACAGACTTCACTGTGTAAAGGGCATCCCCTTGGTATTGGTGTTTGTGTTCCCCTATTGGAAGGGGATGGCAGTTCTGAAGGGGAACTGTGGAAGCTGGGAACACCAAAATGTTGCTTAAAAGTCTCTGCAAAAAATATATATACTGACCGTTATCTTGTCTCTCCTTCTTCAGCTGAGGAGAAGAAAGAAGAGAAGAAAGAGGAATCTGAAGAATCTGATGATGACATGGGATTTGGCCTATTTGATTAATTATTTGTTATAGAGAAATTATTAAAACTGTTTGTTTTAAATGTTTTTTTTTGTTTATTATTATAACCACGCAAATGCTACTGGATTCAGACAGCTGTTCTTTAAATAGCTCTGACAAAGCTTTGGTTTTTGGTTGGACCAGATGATCTTGAAAGTCTTTTCCAGCCTTAATGATTCCATGTTTCTATGAATTTTATGAGCAAGCCATGGGACTTTACTCTTAAAGTAGTCAGGAACTGGTAAGCTTGTCTGAATCGGGATGCTTGTTTTTGGGGCTCCCATCTGTTAAATAGTGTGTGACAGCTGAATTTACCAGACACCAATTGAAATTCTCCTCCATATCCAGCAATAAAAAAGTTTATTTGGGGGTGTCTATTTAATCAGTTCCACAATATACAAAACCATTTGAATGGAGAACAAGTCCAGCAATGTAATCTCAGAGTTAGTTATAATTTCTGTAAACATCTAAAACATCCCTGAGTTCATTGCTGCTTTGTATTTCCAGGATCCAGGCACAACAACACTAAAATGCTTCTCTATACTTGGATTTCACATGACATCCAGAGGGTTAATGTGGAACCTCTAACAAAACCCTGCTGCGTGTGTCTTGTTCTTCTTGGTACCCTGAGATCAATGCCAAGATGATCTCTTCATATTCGGTGTCTGTTCTGGTGGCAGCTGAAATACCAGGACACGAATCTCCTTGATGAGGATAAAAACCAAAATATTTGATGACGGAAGTAGTATTTTTGGAGAACTGAATGTGATCTCCGGTGCACGCAGAATATCAGCTGGGGAGGACAGTAAATGTTGCTTTTATAAACTGCCTCGTGCTAGGAAACGATTCCAGCAGGCAACTTCCAGTGATTTCTACAGCAGTCCTGGGCTGTCACCACGAGTAGGTAGTGTACATGTGATGATCTCCCCATGCCAAGTCTCCGCAGGTAGAGTCCAGAGAGAGACCCTGGAGTACTCTGTGTTGTGAAGCTTTGCCAGCCTAATTAAGTTGTGGAAAAAAAAAAGGCACTAGCTGCTGCTGCTATGTTGGTTATGAGTCACTGGACAAAGCATGGCAAGTGCTTCTGAGAGGGCAGATGGGTGAAATCCAAGTAGGAAAAGCTATTTTATCTCCCTCTGGTGTACTGAGGGAGAATGCCCTTACTTTGCAGCAGCCAAGGGAGAGGGCAGTTGAAACTTTGATCCTCGGGCCTCAAAACGGCTGTCACTTAAGCAACTAACCCTTCCCGACCTGTGCGTGCTGTCAGGAGGAATTACAGGGGGCAATGCCAATGGTTTTCAACCTCTGAAGTCCTAGTGCGGTGATTCGTGTAGCAGTAATGACAATTGCTTGTGTTTGCTCAAATTCCCTGTGAGATTGGCTGTGGTTCGATACTGGAAAGGATGCAGGTATACCTGTGCTCCTTCCTTACCTGTGCTCCTTCCTCACAGACTGCTCCGTTTCAGCCCCCTGGGAAACAGCGGTTCCAGGCTGTGGTTTCACAGGGAGCCTCCCCTGACCTGCTTCCTTCCCCTTCTTGGCTGCTAGGAGTGAGTGTCATGCTACGAGCCCTGTCATTCTGCTCATCGGGGTTTTTCCACGCACAAACTAATTTGTTTCCGTAGCACAGCTCTTCCATGGGCTTGTGCTGTGCCCAGGGCTGCGGGATGAGCCAAGCCTGTCAGCTGCTGCTGGCTGCTGCGGTTAGCTGCTGCTGCAGAGGAATGGACCCCGGGAGGGCTCCGGCTACACCCAGCCTTCTTCCTTCCTCTTTATCTTCTATTTCTTCTCGTTGCAACCTCTTAGATCTCAAGTGACAGACGCGATCCTGTGCTGTGTGTCCTACGATCACCCTTAAGCACCTTCCTGAAGGTGCATCGTTCTGATGAGGACTATCGCTCCTCCTGCTTTGAGGAGAGGGGTGGTTTGAGGGAGAAAGCACTGAAAACACTGCATTTGTTACACTGCCACAGGCAGGCAATGTGTTTTACCCAATACCCTGCAGGTTTTCCTTATGAAGTCCAGAGAATTTCTACTACCAGAATTTTCTACCAGAATTGTCCGCACAGAACTTTCACACGTTTTTTCAGAATTTGGTGCAACGTCTTGCATGGTGAACATTTCTTCCCAGTGCAAAATCCAAGCTTTCTTCCCCCGTAGGCAGTATGAGGTGGTTGTCACCTGATTGGTGTGTACAGAACCCCGTGTGCCTGGAAATCTGCTGCAGGCTTGTCTGGTGCTCTGGGTGGAGTCCACCACTGATGATCTCAATGAGCTTCTAGGCGAAAGGAATTGGGATCCCTACTTCTGCTCTTTGGGTACTGTTTCAAGATTTCAAGTGTCGCTGTCTCCTTTTCAGGCTTATCGATGGTTTCCAACAGCAGGGATAGCAGTGGGATAGATGTGCTGTGTTCCGGGATGCTCTCGGAGAAAATGAGTGCCTGTGAAGACCTAGAGAGGTGGCCTAGTCTGTCCCCCTGCAGAATCAGTTTCATAACAGATTTTTCCTGACTTTTTAAATATAGAAACCTCAAAGATGTTGAAGGGAAAGGGAAGGACAACCTCGGGCCTGGAGATTGCACCGCTAACTGATTATTACTAAATTGATTGTAGGGGAGAGTGATGTAGTCATAGGCTTGACGTTGAAACACGTGAGCTTTCCTCGCTGGGACTGCTCCATCTCAAATCAGCTCTGCCTGAAAACCATTCCTTACTTCCTCACAAACCCCACTGGCCAGGGGGTGTGACATGACATCTCCGCTACTTGGAAAGCAATGAGAACGTCCTGGGCACAACTGGGGAGTAATAAGCAACGGATCCCTGGGGGGCATTGTCAAATTAGCTGGTTTCACTCTTCCTACTGAGGCCCAATTTTGCAAGCTGTTACACGCATCCCAAACGCAGTAGCTTTCTCTTACGTAGAGCAATGATATCTGAAGGAGCTTGCCTAGAAGGAAGAATCCAGTCCCCAGAGAGCAGGACAGACTGCCCCACTGCACCAGGAGATGCTCCTGTTTGCCGTGGATTGCTCTGATACATCTCACAGGTGGGAAAAAGACATCGAAGTCAGGCTTGCCACTGACCTTCACAGCCTTGGGTTGGGCTTCATGACCAGTGCCCCAGTCCTCTGACCACAGGCCACAGTATTAAAGAAAGTAACATGCTGAAAACAACAGGCTCTCAGCTTCCACTTAAAAT